TGAGCTTCATTGAGTTGGCACCAGGTCCCCTCCAAACAATAGTTCTCGTAGGTTTTCTTTTTCTTCACCAATTTTAACGAATACGGTTCGTGGAACATGTCGGGGTCAAATTCAAAGCCCAGAGCCCACAAGTTTTCTTCATCGATCTCCTTCAAGTTCTTCAGCCGAGGTTGGTACGCTACCAGCACAACACGATCACATCCATCATCATGAGGTTGTACTTCATGCCATCGTCTTGGAGAGAAAGATATAGGCTATAGGCATCTTGTTGTCGAAAGTCTTGATTGTGCCTGTTTTCCAAACTCCAGGTCGAACTTGTTTGCGTATCTCCTCCTCATCCTCGGCTGCCTCTCCTTGTATCCATATCCCTCCTCCAACGAACTCGCTGAGAGGATACACCGTGTTCATGCTGCTAGGGTGATTGTGTAGGTCTCAGTAGCATCCCAGACCAGAGTTCTTGGCAATGCCCGGCGCCCCAAACGTTTTGATACGTGCGACCTTCTTGGCAAACAATGCTAAGTACTTGGTCACACTAGGCATCCTTCTTGTGCCATCACGCAAGGCGCATACTCCTCCACGAGTAAACATGCCCGTCATCCAAGAAGTTGTCCTTGATGTCGGCCTCCGGTTCACTGATCTCGAATAAAGCTGCCTCGCTTGTTCCAAGTGTTCACATAGCTGTAGGACATTGGCATGGCTAAACGACTCCTCCTGCAGCAACTTCTTGGCCATTTCCTCTGCCTTCATCTCCGGTTCCGACAGCGGTTTGAGCAACTTCAGGGTGGACTTTGTTGTGACTCGTCTGCGTGGGACTCCTGACGGCACAGATGCTGATTCTGCGGGGACTCCTGACGGCACAGGTGCTTCTATAACATCATTACGACCAGGTAGAGCATGATGTGGACCGAAATCTTCTGCTGGTAGGTCGTCAAAACCTTCAAAGCTAACAGGTCCATCTTCCCAATCCACAGCCAACTCGAGAAACAGCTCATCACCCTCGAAAGCCCCATAACCCGGATCTTCTCCAGAATGACCAGGTAGATCATGATGTGGATCGAAATCTTCCGCTGGTAGGTTGTCGTCTTTTCCTCCAACACCTGGGCCTTGGTCCACTCTCGTAGACGCAGTTTTCTCCACAAGTCTCTGGGATGGCGACGGTAAAGTCATCTCGACTTCATCTAGCTTCACTTCCTCATCCGCGTTGATCACACTGGACCTCAAGTGCATGCTGCTCACGTATCTTCCTTCAGGGAATCTCACGGTGTGACCGCCACGGATATCTGGCGCCGGTAGACGCCCTCCTTCCAAAGATTGTCTAGGTCGTTCTTGGCGCCTGCGCCCCATATCTTGTTCTTTACGTGAACAGGAGCTGCAAAAGGAAAAAGGCCACGCCCCCGCCCCAATGCATGTTCCCTTTGATGATGGGCTGCGTAGACCATCGCCCATGGCCAGCATACCCGGGGCAAACCTGAGGCAGTAAGAAGGCCCTTTGTTCTTCGTTTGGCCCGTTTCACCGCTGCTTCTGCCCGGCCGTTGGTCACCGTTGGTCTGTGGGACTTGGCTCTCCCCACATGTCCGAATGACATCTCTCGAGTCATCAGCCAAGACCGTAAGTCCCGCCCACGGAGTTCTCGAGCTCTGTCGCTGTGGATCCTGATCACTGGGAGCCCTTCGCTGCGTAGTTGCAAGTAGAGACTCTTGACCGCTGCATCCACTTCCTTGGCCAAGCGTGTTTTCAAAGGAATAGCATAGTGCAACACCTGGTACTCTGGAAGCTCTCAGACGCCCTTTAACAACTTGTTGTAGCGCTCTTCACCCTCCTTCATTGCCGTAAAAATCTTCAGGATCTAAAGGCTCTTCTCCTGGTCCAACCCCACCCAACAAGTCATCATCTTCAAAGGCCTCTTACTCCCGGGGTATACTCTGGTGTTGGCGCATCACTACCACCCTTGAGCTTCGGCATCACATAGGCACCAATAAGAGCGTACTTGTAGCCCTTTGCCCCACCATAGTCACCCTTCACTCGAAAAGGACCACATAAGTCCAGCGAAAGAACATAGCAAGAGGGAACTATGATCCTTCTGTGTGCTCGGCCTGTTGCACAAGTCTCAACGCAGGCACAACAGCGTCTTTCGAAAGGAAGGTGCCCATTCTTCACGTGGGGAATCCATTGGTGCCGCTCAGCCTCTCTCATCTGGTCAAAGGCAGCATCCATCTTCTTTATGGCCCATCCATTAGGAAAGTTTCTCCACTTCTTGCTGCCGCCCACGATCTCGTTGTAGATGGAGGGTGGCCACGGCGAATCCGTTCAAGGTGGGTTCCAGCTCCTCCTGAATCCTTCTTCCGAGGATCCTTGTCAAGATCGAGGTTGGGGGCAATCAAGTAAACCTCGCTATTTTCATGAGCGGTGAGGTCCACCAGCGGGATCCCGTAATCCACTTGTAGCCTTTTCCATGACTCCGACTTCCAAAAGCATTCAGGTGATCTGCCGCTCATCGCCAGGTAGAGGGTAGGGATGCCAAAGACATTCGCCGCCTTTTGTTGGCACAATCCACAACCACACCATCTTGTTCCTCAACTCCTCTGAATAGTTCGTTGGTATCGCTCCATGTATCCCTTCAAGCTGCCCTCTAAAGGCGGCCCACATCAGTGCTCGATAGGCCACGCTGTCTCCTCTCAAGCTGAACAGCCTGCTCCGGGAAACAGTGATATCCACAAACACCGTGTCATTGGAGTTCAAAACCTTCAGGTCAACATCGTCTTCACCCGCAAAGCATCGCACTGACCAACGCTTCTCCATCATAGCTCTTCTCGTTGATCTCCTGATTGGCAGGGCCTGGAGGTACTTCCATCCACTTTTTGCATCCAAGCTCACCGTAGTCGCCATCAAGGAAGGCTGGTCTTGCGGAAGTGTTCCCAAAAGGGAGCTGCCAAACATCAGCGCCTCCAAAGCATGTACACTCCTGTTTGCACATACTTCGCCAAAGAATGCTCCCAGAACGCTGACTCACTCTTGTCCATAAGTCAAACCGCTGTTTCCACAGTGTTGCCCTCGTGCTCCCTGAGTTTCAAGTCTTCCAACTGGGAGATGATCTCCAAAGCCTGAAGCTCTCCCAACATCGGGTGATTTCCTGATACAAAGGTCTTGAGCTCGCCGAGCCGGGGATGGTACACACGAAGCCGTCCATGGCGCGTCCATTGTAGTTCACATCCAAGTCGTTGTACCATTGCTCCTAGAGGCAAGATTGCCGGGGCAGCCGGAGCAGCTGGATCATCTCTAGTGGCCAAAACCGTTCCACCTCGATTCTGCTTGAACGTGATGAACTGTCCTCCTGCAAGTTCCACCCGTACAGGTAGAGCTTGTTGTTCTTCCTCACGACTCAGTACTGTTCTAAAGGAATGGGACGCTCCAGTATCCAAAAAAGTTGCTCTTCGTTCATCCTCCGACTCCACCCTTTCCACCTCCGCGGTCAACTCCTTTAAGTCAGGCAACCGAATTGCAGCAAGCTTTGTCAACTTACTCAGCATGGTATTCGCTTCTTGTAGTAGCGCTTGAACATCTTGGGTCCTTGTCTGTTCCACCGCAGGGGCGGGCTCCGCCGTTGTAGTAGTGGTCGAGGATCCTGCTGCCAACTGCTGCATAGACTCAAGAAGAGCCTGCTTGGAAGCCACCGGAATTGGTGGCTGAGCAGCGTGGCTGAGCAGCCGCCAAAGTCGCCAGCGAAGGAGTCGTAGCAGTAGACGATGATGAGCCTCCACCTCCATCTGCTCCTCCATCTCGCTTGGGACTTTTGGGGCACTTTCCATTCTTTTGCGCCACTGGGCAATCTGTACGACGGCGGTTGGAAGCTCCACACTCCCAGCAGCTGTTGCGCTTTGCTTCCTTCGACTCAAAGGTGTGCTCGCACTTGCAGCCTGATCCCCTCTTGCAACCAGCATCAGAAGTAAAGAACTTACAAGTCGTCTTCCCATTGTTTTTCGCAGCGGCGACCCAGTTGGCGTAGTAGCTTCTCCGGTTCCTCCTGTCGGGGTTGTTGTCACCGCCTTTAGCTTCAAGGTGTCGGCCGTGGAAGCTGAGGTTGTTGTAGAGGAAGCTGGCCTTTGCGTTTTCGTAGGAGCTGTTTGCTGCAACGCTGCTAAGGCATGGCTATGGTACTTTATCACACCTTCAACCGTCGGTCTGCTCTGGATCTGAAGCTCATTCTTGATCAAAGAGAGCTTGAAGCGGAGGTCACCGTTGGTCTCCATCGTTTTGGCAATGATGCCGTCCATGCTCTTCAAGAAGATAGAAGCATCCGGTGTTGCTATGCCCATTTCATCGGCTCTTTGAAGATACCTTCTCCAACGGCGCAAGGCGTGGATAGTGTCGTGAACACCTTATTCGGGGATGTTGCTACTGCTGCTACTGCTACTGCTACTGCTACTGCTACTACTACTACTACTACTACTACTACTACTACGTGGAAACTGAAGAAGAGGGGCTGTGCAAAAAGGAAGGGGCGCGAGCCTTTGCTTGGGACGATGGGCAGGGCATTGTGAAGGGGGGGGGAGGGGGGGGGGGGGGGGGGGGGGGGGGCGGGGGAGGAGGGGGGGAAGTAGCTTGGGGAGGGGCTTGGACAACGCTGGGTCGGGGGGACAGGCGGGGGCTGGCCAGAGTAGCCTCAACACCTGGCATAACGCACTATCCCTCTGCTTTTAACTCTTTGACCCTGCTTCGTTGAGAAAGGCTCAAGACGATGTACCATGCCATCCGTGAAATCTCTAGTGCCTGTCTTCAGCAGCTAGGTCATAGGCCAATGAAATTTTTGTGGGGACAAGGGTATGGCCACTTGTATCTCAACGAAGACTCCAATCGGTTAATTCCAGGCCATGTATAACTGCATATTATGCAGTTAGACATGGCTTTGGCTCCAGCACTGCGGTTTTCCCGAAACCCATGTTTCCAAAGTTCTGTCGTGTCGGGGCTTTGCATAAATGGACCTTCGGCTCGGAGTTCGCGCCTGCGCAGCCGAGCGGCACTCGCACGGCCAGAGGCCTCCGTCCGGCAAAGGTTCTTGTCGTTAAGGTGCCTCCCAACGGAACACTCAAGGGGGAGGCTAAGCAGCAGCAACATGTACATCACAGCAGTCAGTGTCAGGCACTCCAAGCCTTCTGACACGTCTCTCCAAGCTTGCAAGAGTCTATTGCCGAAGCTGGCAAGACGGTGTTGCCGCGACCCGAAACAAGATGCAAGCTGAGAGACGGAAAGAAACGGACAGAGTTCCGCCGCAACGAATCTGCTGCAGCAAAGGCATCTGCGGCTGATCGGATTGCAAGCCGTCAACATCGTTTGCCGACCCTTGCTGCTGCCAGAACGCTCAGCCAACCAGAGCCAAATATCCCCAGCTCGGACATCGCCTGCAAACTCTGTCTGCAGAGATGCTTTGACTGCAATTCCACCACTGAGGGTGCGCCTGTCTGTCCGAGAAATAAGCCTCGTCCCCTCCATGACTCCATATACTCCATGAGCGTGTCGAGGCCAACACCTGGGGAAGCTGAGCGCGACATGGTGCCATTTGGCCATTTGGCCTGAAAAAAATGTTCACGCATTCTGTCCCATAGGTCCTGCGCATTCTGCAATGTGTACGTCTCAGCTTGAAAGGTTGCACGGCATACCGTTTTCATGGTAGTGCTTGAAAGGTAGACTCATCCCAGCATGATCGTGTCAGCAAACCTTTTCCTCCTCACTCTGCACGGCCGAGAAGCGCATGAAATGTAGATTGCAGGCGCTCCACAGACAATGTGTGGTCAGTTCAGAGACAGCCTGCTTCAAACACAGGGGTCTCCTAATTAATTGTTGCACCCTGCAGCCTTCTCGAGCTCGAGAAGCCGTCGCAGTGCGTCTACTTTCATCCTTCTTAAGACAACCCAAATACCTGGACTTCACGCTTGGTGTGGCTCCTGGAAGTAGGTGCACTTGACCCTGCAGGGCTATAGATTTCAAACACAGACTGTAAGGGAGGTGCCAGGCTTTGGCTCTCCTTAACGCGAGATCTTCTCAGAGAGCATGGTTTCCGCTTTTCTCCACGAGCCAGCTGTATGAGTGGCCATGGGATGCTACTGACCTGCAAGAAGGCTTCCCTTTCGCTTGGTTGGTTAGTCGGGGCTTCTCAGCACAGGATTGCCGTTATTTACCCTGATAGTTCCAGCACTCGAAGAACATCTTGCATTCAATGGCCCGTGAGGAAGCGCATGCGTGCGAGATATGCTCTGCGGTGGAAGCGAGCTGTCCGCGGCCTTCTTGCCACCCGAGGTCTTGGCACATCATTAAACAATGCAGATCTGAAGCTACTTGCAATCGATATCGACGTGCTAGTTGCCCTGCCGGCAAGGAGGCGAGCCTGACTCTGACATGCAACGAGGTCAGAAACAGCATCCGAGCGCATGACAGCACAACTCGTCAAAGAGGATCAGCTCAAGCTTCTGGCATTATCTACGTATTCCACAGGACGAGTACTTAGGCTGCATGTGGACATCCGCGAAGTACAGTCGTACAGTTACGATCCCTTGGGAATGTAGCATGCACTCACCTGGAATGTCTTTTTCGCTGGCTTGCCCTTCCTGAACATATACATGTGCATGCAGCAGCTGCATGAGACATTGTCAATCTAGCATGAAGTGGAAGAAATGCGGATTTCATGCTGTTACTTTCGCCAGCGCTCGGTGGCGTGTTTGTCGCAGCAGTCGCACAGAGTCTCACTTTACAGGGTTGCACGCGTGTGGTTCCCGGAAGCCAGACGCACATGCAAAGAGAACTTTCCGGGAAGGGAAGTTCGAACTGGATGCCCGAGGCTACCCGAAGGATGCAAGTCTTTCGGCCATTGGCCTTCCTTCGGTCAGAGACTCCGACAGCCCTAGGCATTCTCCCGCTGCTGACCTTTGCCGCCACTGCGGCGACGGAAGCTCAAGCACACCTGCAACGAGTCACGAGGCCCCAGCTGTGCAGACTCAAAAAGGCCCTCCACGCAGTGCTTGTGCCGAGAGGCGGAAGTTGAGTCTGCAACTGATGCTTCCACGCGGGTCATCCTTGGAGCAACCACGCAGGGCTGCGAACCGGATGTGGCCATTCGACTTGAAAGAAGTCTCACAACCATTGACCTGAAGCAACCCTGCAACCTGGAAAACCCAGCCTCTGAAACCAAACGCATGTGCCTTACGCCACTTTCGGGTGCGTGCCTGGTTCGGCAACTTTCGATTCTGACAGCCATAACCCAAAGTTTCGATCAGACCCGGCTGTTGACATCAACCGCAAGTCTTGTAGCCAAAGGTCCACAGCTCACAGCGACTTCCTTGAAAGGAAACACCACGGCATCCATCACTGCTTTCGCAGGCCTCCTGACAGCCTTGCACAAAGGCCAGTGTAAACAGTACGAAGTCCAGGGCTGAAGACTGCTCGCACTGCTGCTGAATTGTACAAACTTCTGCGCTCATGCAACAGCATCGTGCCGTGTCACTTAATGAAAGGGCTGTCCTACCACGTCTAAATACAGATAATGGACTGCCAAGGGCAGAGTATCAAGAGCGCGGCACATCGGAAGACCCAATAAGTTGGCTTTTGCTCAGCCATGCTCAGCCTAAGTCTACGCGATTATGGGCCTGCCCCCTCCATATAACTGTTCCACATGACTTATTGCTGCATCCCCGATCGGGCAGATTGGAGCTGGGAGCATCAACTCATGAAGATGACAAGGCTGCGATGAAAGATGTGCAAGTAGGGCTTCAGCGAGATGCACTGACCCGCGGGCTGATGGTCCAACGGCATCAGAGCTCTCATTTATGACGACAACTATAACTGTGTGTGATTTAAATCTTTAACACTTCTGAGCACAAAGGGTCTTGAAGTGTCGAGTGCTGATTGTCGTGAGCTGTCTAGGCAGACTGGGGTGTAGGAGACACTGGTACTAGTACTAGCACCTGGCCCGCCGAGCCTCGCAGGTCCGTGGTGGAAACGACCTGATGCTGTAGTCCATGCAGGCTATGCCGCTATGCAGCCGTTTACGGATGTTGGCCAGGTGGACGCTGCACATGCAAATAAACATTTGTACATATAAAGTGTATAGGAGTCATGACGATGTAATATTCTACAGGACGCATAGGACATCACAGGACTTTGTGCCAGCCGATGTAACCAGTCGTGCTAAAGCGGAAGGCCGCGTGGGGATGGGATCCTCGTGTGGTACGTTTAATTTGCGTGGCAATAATTCCGGAGGAATCTGAAGATCAACGCTGGGCTCCTAGGGCGCCGAGGCTCGTTTCTTGAGGATCACTGTCGCTGTCATGCTCCTCATCCCTGCTCTGGTTGGGCTGCTGCTTGCACAAGGAGGCCATTCCAAATCATGTTTAATGTTTTTGGCGGTCTCATTTATCGAACACCCGAGCAACATCCTCACAAGCCGTGACCACTCTCCTGAGGCCCTGCCTCAAAATTGCCGACGTCGTTGTCGCCAGCATCCTCCCCGCGACAGGCTCGTCCAACGCCTCGAGGGTTGTGAGGCTGTGGCCGGGTCAGGTCAAATTGAATTGAGTGATATGCGATTTTTAGGATTCACACATGGTCGGACCCTTATCGTCAAGCGCTAGGAGCCCCTACATTCTCCAGCCTCCAGACATGCCTGATAAGGGAAACCCACACCGCAGGGAAACAAAGTCCCGTGCAAATGCCGGCACATTTTATACATAATATTTCCACACATATACATATACATGTACATACCTACACGCATTGCAAGCAAAACTTTGCCACACGAGCGTACAGTACAAGGTCCCGTTCATGCGCCTTGACAAATACACATACTTGTACAAATAAATGTATAAACCTACACGTACATACACACACACACACACCTACACATACCTATACATACAAACTTATACATTCGCTACACAGATATTTCATACATACATACATACACACACACATACACACATGCATACATCCATAGTTGCATACATACATACATACATACATACATGCATGTACAGGTACATAACAATGCGCAGATGCGCGCGCACACACACACACACATATATATATATATATATATATATATATATATATATACATATATATATATATATATATATATATATGCTCTCGGGTCCGGGCCCCCACCCTTCCATGGTATCCCCCCTCCGTATAACAAAGAAGCGGATGTGTTCAAATAGTTCATTTACAGAAATATGATGCAGGTGCCACCCCAAGCAGGGGCTTGGGGCGGGGAAGCCAAACAACACCTGGAAACCAAACAAGAAGACTGTGCCAGGGACGGCCAAATAGGTTGGGCGGGGGTGCGGGGTACAACAACTGCGAACAAGGCCAACCAAAGCCGAGTGATGCGCAGGGGAAGGGGCAAAGCCTCCGCTGGGGGCGGGAAGAGTACCACCACAGGCCTCACACCACAGGGGGGCGGGGGGGGAAGGGGGGGATACCATGGGGTGGGCGTTGGGGGGGGGGGGGGGGTGTTGCAGCCTGCATCATATATACATACATACATGCATACACACGTACATACCTGCATGCATACATACAGTGTATACATACTTACATCATACGTACATACGTGCTGACATGCAAGTGACTAGTGCATACATGCATACAGACATACATACTCAATTACATACCAACACGCACTAATACGTGCTAATACATGCTATGGCACATATTAATACAGACTAATGCGTGCATACATACTTACATACATACATACATACAGGCGCACACACACACACACACCTACACACGCATTGCATACATGCGCAAGTACATACATGCATGCTGCATACATACATACATACATAAATACGTACATACACAGATACATAAATAAGCACGGACAAACAAAGACAGACAGGCAGACAGATACAGACAGCCACAGACAGACAGACACCGCCAGACAGACAGACACAGACACAGACAGATAGACTGACAGACAGACAGGCAGCCACGCCAACAAATGTGTCCATCCATCCATCCTGCGTGCGTGCAGCCAGCCAGCCAGCCAGCCGTGCATTACAGTTCGTCACGATGCCGCACTGCGTTGCTACAGTACACCGACAGCATCACGGCAACCGCGAAGACCACTCGAGCAGACCACCAGGACACCACCACCCGACCGGACCATAAATCTTCCCTCCATATACTATAGCGGGATTCAGGAGCACAGCTAATGCCCTCAAGACTCGGGCTCAGTTCACAGGTGTGATTCAAAGATACGACCACCTCGCTTCTCCTCATGTACTGACTGTTCTGGCTAGATTCAAAAATTTCGAGGCACAAACGAGGCAACGTAATTACTAGATTTTGCCACGAACGTAAAAGCCGCCGCGAGGATAGTATGCAGAGAATGTGACATGGGCGCAAACCAATTGTGCACCACACCAGTGGGACCGCGTCCCGGCGAACCTTTGCGAGGGCGCGCCACTAACCGAGTCTCCTTACACCGATCGTAAGAACCTCATAGTGTGTACCGCAGTGCATGCTTTCGCCAAGCAGAGCCAGACAATTTACAAAGCAGAGCAAAAAAAGACTTGTACACCCGACGGATCTCGGAGGATGGGACGAGATACTCATCACGACAGTCGCTCCGAACGAGCTGGTCAGCAGAGCTGATGTGTATCATGCTCATCCTAGCTCCTAGATGCGTGGCGATGGGTGTTTCACAAGATCCGACCGGTTAGAGTGCGTGAGTCGGGAGTCCTCCATCAACGAGCCGAAATCCTCGAAGCAGGTCCAGGCTTGGCCGCGTCGTGGCTGGTGTTGTGCCCTGCAGGCTGAGCCGGGCCCTCCCCTCCTCCCGTTATACGCTTTGAAACATGGGAGGTATACGGGGCAAACTGGTTTTCTCAAAAGCGGCATGTTAAAGTACTCACGTACATGAATAATTGTTGCTGTCGATCGCCAAAGCCCCCACCCCACGCCTGCCGCATCCCCCCCCCTCCAAACAAGGGTCCATGGCAGTCCCTGCTTGTCAAGTTCAGGCTCGGGCGCGTCTCATATTGTCACGCACTGCAACACTGCAAAGGATGGAAATCCATCATATAGCTGACGAGCGGCCGCCGAGGTGGTGCTGGGCGTCGACGAAGGAGTGGTTCCCGGCGCTGTGGTTTCTGCGGTTGTGGTGGTGCTTTGAGTGCTGCCCTGCGTAGTAGTGGTGGTAGTGGTGGTAGTGGTGGTAGTGGTGGTAGTGGTGCTGGGTGTGGCGGTGGTGGCGTCGGTGGTGGTGGTGGGATTGGGGGTTGGGGTGGTGGTGGCTGTGGCGGTGGTCTCGGGACACTGGCCCAGGGCATGCAAGTTCGCATGGCCCTTGTCAATGGCGATCGTCCACGCTCGGACGAAGCTCTCCAGCCAAGCAGCCTCGTTGCCGGCAAAGAGCAGCACTGCATCCGCAGCAGGCCCACTGGGATCATTGCGGTCGCCACAATCGCCATCCTGGTCGCCACAGCACTGCCCACGCTCTCCACGCCCCGGGTTGCCTCCGCAATATTCGCCCCCGTTGCTCGCCACCGCTCCCGGGATGGTATCGGATGTCAACCAAGCGCAGCAGTTGTGCTCAGTCGCAAGGACGGGGCCTCCATTTCGACCATTCTCGCTGTAGACGAGGCACAAGTCGGAGTTGAGCATCATCTCGTGACCATCGAAGCTCGTGTCACGCCCAATGTCGCTGCGCTCCCACTGATTCTTGCCGGCATTGCCAGCCACAGCGAGCTCTGGGATCCAGCCTTTGGCCAACAACGAAACGAAGTAGTCGTTGTTAAAACGACGGGAGTTCTCAGGATCGCTCCACCATCCATGGTAGCCGGAGTTGCTCACCTGTGCCCGACCCAAGCTGTGGACACCCATTAAGGCTGCAGCCTCCGTCCAGTCCAAGCCCATACCATCCAAAAACGTCTGCTCAACGGCGTCGCAGCCGTTCTCTGGATTTGGCAAACGACCAGCAGCAAAGTCGCAGGTGACTGCAGTAGTACGGCCGAAACGGAAAGACGAGCGCAAATCAAGCCGAGGGGCCGACGGGTTTGCAGCTTCGTGCCGAGCTCTGGTGGACATTATGACGGCCTGCGCAGCAATCACCAAGAAGTCCGCCAAAGATACGCTCGTGCAGAAACTCTGGTAGACTTCCCGCAGTGAAATGCCGTGCTCTCCATTTGCCAGGCAAGCAGGCAGGCCACCATTGTCTGCGTCAGTCATGTCCGTGCAGGCGTCCGCGCCACCTTGGCCAGTAGCAAAGTCCATGAAGTCGTGCCCAGCCATTCGCAGAACGCAGCCCGCCCAATCTGCTTGAGGGCAGTCCGTGGCAGTGCAGATTGCTGGCAAGCTCTCCAAGTGGCCACGAACAGCAGTCACAACGTCCTTATCTCTGGAGGGGATTCTCAGCTTGCATCTATGTTCCGCTGTGCGACGAGCGGAGAGTTTTGTTGGACCAAGGCACATCATATTGCGCTGCCGTCATGCAAGCCGTGGTCAGCACCGCCCCCCCAGGACAAGGCATCAATTCCGACGGAGTGGCATTCACCTGCAAGATCACAGACTGACTCCCTTGCCATCTCACAACATTCGGATCAAATGCAAAACAAACCACCTGGACATTGGATTGAAGCTGTCCGCGGCGGCTACTTTGCTGCAAGAGCCAAGGGCCATCCGTCCGCGGTGCGCAGCTGTCTCCCACACAAGTGGCGTCTACCTCGCAAGGGATGTTTTCACTTAGGCTCTCACTGTGTAGGATGTGTATGAGAATGTAGGAGACCGCAGCGGAACACGATTCATGTAGCGATTGAAGGCAGCCAAGGCACTCCCACAAGTGAGGCGAACAAGAGAGCCCACGAAACCGCCATCCCTTTGAAAGCTGGACGACAAGACCGCTGATCAGTATCGCAAATCCCAGCACAAATGGCTGCAAGGGAACATGAAGTTCAAGGCAAATCGGGCTTGGGCTGGCTTGGGCTTGAGGTCTTCCTGCTGTAAACTTCGTGAACTGGTACGCTCGTACACTGATATACTTCCAGCACCGACAAAGCCCCCGGGCCCGGGCCCGGGCCAGGGCCACCTCTGACATCCAGAGACTCTCCCAACTCTGACCCTCCCTCTTCCCTTCCTCTTTCGCCCCCCAAAAGCTCTGGGCCCGGCCGCCAGCGCGAACACCAAGCCGCTGGAAGTTCTCGATGGCCTTGTCGTGTTGTTTTACAATGAACTTTCTCCAGACCCGATACCTCCATCACCAGGAGCGAACTTCCCAGGCCCGGCGAGGCTAGTGCCAGTGGCCGAAGACAGCTTGAACGCAGCCCTCCACCATAAATGTTCTAGACTATGAAGGGGTAGGAACAGACAAGGCTGACCTTCCATCTAAGACCAGCACCAGATCAGCTCTCAATCGCTGAGCCGGCTGTGCCAGCATGTGCCATCTCCAATGGCATGGATCCATCGCTGAAGCTGAGAGATCGCTAGGGGGGAAACCCCGGTGATGACTTGCAAGCAACACTCGGGACCCGGGAAGCTTTGTACGGAGTGTTCGGGGCAGGTTCTGTCCAAGGTGCAAGGTCAACCACAGTGCGACCGCAGGCTCTTTTCCCATGCTATCCTATAGTTCCGCTTTGGGTCATTGGGGTCGAAAACCCCATCACTCGTTTTTCAGGTTTCGGGGGGTGTTTGCTCGCATACCGCATAGCGGCAGTTCTAGCCATGTTCGACACTAGGTCACTGGGTGGCATCGCATGTTCAAGACAGCCGCAGAAATCGGAGGTATGTGTGCTGTTTTCTGTGGCCGTGCCGCGCCAAACGAACAGTATTCGCTAGCACAAACCCCTAGCGAGGGTTCTGCACCGGCCCACTGTCTACAAACTTCCAATCGGCCACCGTTTGCTTTGAAGGTCAGACTCAGCGCAACGGCACACGCCATGGAGGCTTCGGGAAGTCTTTTTCGCCTTGTGTCTTTGGGCTACCCTATATAGCTGCCGGCTACAATGGTCCAGCAGTATACGTTCTCTATACACCCCTATGCCAGAGTGTCTTCTCCGACGAGTGTGCAGTACCTTACTCATGGCATGGAGATCAGGCGCCATCCCGAAAACCTGAATCGGCCGCATGTCAAGTCATCCCCGAGGCAGCAAAAGGTGGCGGAAACCTCCTGTGTCGCTCTCCAATAGGCCTCACCACATGTCACAGGGACAAAAGCGGCTTCTGGGCTTCCAGTGTTCGAGGCAGGATTCCTCCTGCAGAAGCAGATCCCGAGACAGAGGCGGAGAAAAAACCAGCATGGCTGCTTATAGGTCGTAACCAACAAGACAACTCACGCCTGCAAAACTGAAGATGCTTGATGCAAACTGCGTTATCTAAGCTGATGCCTCTATGACGGTGTCTTCCAAATCTAGACTGTCTCGAGATCCTGGGCTAAAGCCCCGGCCCCACCTTCTTTGCCGTGGAAAAGCACCGCTCGCAAAGGTCGAAGTCGCAACTCCTGAAGGCAAGAGTGGTAGGTTGGTAGAGAGCCTGTAAACCTATGCAGTACGTGCATGAAGGCCGGAAGACAGCCGCCAGAAGTCGCACAGGCTTGTTCCTTTTCTTCGAAAGAGTCGACTGTGCAGTCGGATCTCAGCAGAAGCCAAGATATATCGCAGCTGTTCGGCCGCGTGGCTGATGGAGCGAGGTTCGAGCGGCCCTGGTATTCCAGCGAGCGCTACAATAAGATCTTCGATCTGAGTCGATGCTCCGCTCAGGTGCGTCTCCAGCTCAGAGGCGCATGCCCACGGACTCCCTGCAGGGCGTCAGCTGAATCTCCTGGCAGCGGAACTCGAGGACGACATCGGCTCCCGAAAACCCTCGCCGAATCACGCATCATTCCTAGGGCCTAGGGGGAGCAGCAATAGCATGGCCGGATGCGTAGGCGAATACAGCTGGAGCACACCCGCACGTGAGCCTGCCTTGATGCATCCAAGGCGCATAAGACCAAACAGACGGCTTCTGCTCATGCAGCGCGAAGAAGGCATCAGCCAAGTCCGCCGGATCCTGTAGCATGACCTCGTACGTCTGCCGAAGGCGAAGATACTGGAGTGGGAACAGGTGATGCAAGATCTAATTTGCTGGAAGAAGCATGCAATGCTGAGATGTTCAGTGTCACTCTGAGTCGTCTAACCGATGCACCACGACCAATTTCCAACTTCAGAGCAACCAATGACATGCACCCAAACCCCAGCCTTGGAAGCCCAAGCTTTGGTGTTCGGAGACTCAATGACTCCATCGATGACGACATGAGCCACATGAACGCCCTTCGGGGCATAGGTCTGATACCTCAGCACAGTTTTTCAAATCTCCTCCAACACTACCTCCTCCTTCTTCCCAAGCTCGGGAATGACTCTCGGAGCTGGAATGGGAAGCAAGGTGCATGGCCTGGCCCAAGGACCGCAGAGCTGCCTGACAAAGCCACGGCGCAGGCTGGCGATCTTAGGCTCGACTCCCACACAATCGAGAACGACATCTGTGATTCGACGTCTGGCAGAGGTGATCTTAGACCGTGTGAGTCCTGTAAGAAGGATGCGGCCTTGATGGGAGCCATGCATGCAAACTTCGGTCCTCTCAGACATGCTCAAGGTCGCTTTTGCTTCATCGTGCTGCGTGCAACGAGACGCGCAAAGAAAGCTGCAACGCCAGCATAGCAGCTTGAACGATCGTCCTCCACGCATCGCCATCGTTGCGCCACTGAGGAGGATAGTGCCCTGGCCTCGCCTCCAGCGTGTGGAGGTGACTAGAGCCTCGACCTGCATAGCCTGCACGAGTTTCTCGAGTCGTCTGAACAGCCTTGCAGCATTTATACACGCTGCCACAATCTTGCAGCTTGTTCCAGGTCCCAGGTTTGGCGATGTCGTGGTTTGTTTTCTGGTCCCGATTATAGGCCCAAAAATAGGAGCCCCAAGTGGAAAAGGTCCGCAAACTAGACCCACTTTCCGACCCCGGAAATCAGACCTCTTGCAATCAAGGACGTGTGACGGGTGATTTACGTTCATGCTCTTCTTTCCGATGTGTGCTGCGTTGAATGGGAACAGCATAAAGCTGTTGCACTGTGGGGGGAAGAAGCAATTCAATGACAAAGTCAGCCGCTTTCTGGACCTTCAATCTGTGCCCATCAAAAACGTTTTTTTAAAGCGCCTGTTAGGAGGACGCTAGAAGGATGCTGGGAGAGATGTAGAAATTTCTACGAGGACGTCAGCAGCATGCTTGACGAGTTTGGCTTTCGCAACCTCCACCTAGTCTGATTCTGGGCGTCTGGGAACTCTCATTTATGCAGCGAAAAAGGAAGTGTGCGGAATTTCGCAGGCATTCAACAAAATAGAAGATTTCGAGGAGCAGGACGCTTTCGACAAAAAATAGCCCCGATGAGTCCGAAACTTCTGTGATGAGTCTGATGACGATGATGATGACGAGGATGGTGATGCTGGGTGACGATGATGGCGCTGAGTTTACTTGCAGGTGGCGCACGTCATATCAATTCTGTTTCACGCATACGGCTGGGCAACCCAAAGCAGCAAGTGTCTTATGATTGGCCAACCAGGCCTGCGAAACAAACACCTGAAGACTTGAAGCTTCGTCGCTTTTATGACTACATCTGCGGCATCATCATCAGCACTCTCATTCTCCTCGGCATGCAGCTGCAGCCTGCAGCTTTGCATTTCCATGGGAGTGCTCCGCAGTGTCTTTATAGTCATTCTTATGAGAATGGCAATCCTTGCCATCATCATCATCACCACCACCATCATTGTGACGATCATCGTCAGCACCACCATTATCGTTTACATCATTGCCATTCTCCTCCTTCTCACCATCTTCGTCTTCATCCTCATCACCATCATGATCATCATCATCATCAAGAGCATCTGCAGCTCGGCCGCCTTCGACTATGCAGCTGTGCTGACGATTCGGGCCGTGCTGCCCGAATTGTCAAACCGACTGGGGAAACTCTGCCGCTTCGGGCGGCGCAATCACACATGGGCGTTCGATTTGCGTTTTTCAGGGACGACCCCTCGGCGCCGTTTTCTCATCCCTTCCGTGCTTTTTTGCGCGGGAGACATAAGTCCAGATCATGGGAAAGATCCCTATATCAACAGCTTCATGAGGGGAAATTTCAGAGGCAAGGCATTAGTGAGCTTAACGGTCAACATGCATGGGTCATGGATGGTCATGGAATTTCTGCAGGATGCTGTTCTTTCGCGCGCGCGTCTTTTGCGTGAGGCACCGACAAACTTCCAAACGGACACTCCAGCGACTCAAGTACTCGATGCATGTATTAGTGAATCCAGCTCGCGAGGCTTCCACACAATATCACATATAGTTATGCGCGATAAATGTTTATGAACTGCCTTCTTGGGTTACAGAAACAATCATCTGCGGGCACAAAACCTCTGCCTTTTTGATATATGTCTATATCCATCTATCCATCTATCGCTCTCTACTGATAAGCAACAAACATTAGCGCAGGCCCGCAGACTTAACTGAGCTTGGGTAAATCCGCGGCATTTGTTGGGCAGGCAGCTGTATATGTTCAAAGTCTGACCACTGCGCATAATGGGCTCAATGTTGCAGATGTGCTTTGCAAGCGGGCGCAAGACTGAAGAAGCAGCTCTCGTCCCAAGCTGTCCAAGTCATGCCGGTAGCAGCTTTTTTGTTTGGAAAATCAACGTTGATAGCTTGCACTTACACTGATGACTGATATGATGTCTTGCAGATGCCCCGATAGGGCAGTCCAAGGTGTGCACTCCATCATATCCGGCGCGATCTCACGGATGCATCGGACCTTAATGGCTACAGTCTGAGTCTGATTCAACATGGGGCAGACCACGCATTCGAGCTTGAAAGCTGCACCGCCGCAATACATCCTTGTCAAACCGAGGTGCACATCCGCTGACACCAATATTGAAAGCTTTCGTGAAATACTCCGGGTCTACGGCCTGCAGTTCAGACATTAGAGTGCCGAGAGGGACGCGGAACTCTTGGAGACGAGTTCTTGAGAATCTCTTGGTTTCTGTCGTGCTTCTGACGAGAGCCGACCCTCGTGTACTCCTGCGCGGCTCTTATACAACAGTTGGGTAATCTCCGAAGACTTGCAAGATCTCGCACAACCCTTTTGGACGTGAGCACATTCTGCTTTGTAGTTGACGTTGCGTTATGTTGGCTTTCAGGTCGTAGTCGGCGTAGACTAGCACTAAATTGTGTTCGAATAATCTATCCAGGTGCAAAGCTAAGGACACCACAGTGCAACCAAGAAACCGATCAGTCAAATGATCGAGGCAAGACAGATCTGTGGCAGGGACTTAAGAGCTCCTGAGATATCTGTCGAATCTACAGTACTCAGTCCTCCGATAGGACGAATAAAGACAGCAAAGGCCGGAACAGGGCGAACGACTTGGCATGTCGAAAAGCAAGAAATATGTTGACGAGAGAAGCCGACTGAGAGGCGTTCGGGACGTTTGGAATTGTAAAGGCCGACCTACAGGATGGCTGAGAACTCAGCACTTATAGAAAGAGTATCCTCCAAGTCCGAGACCCCGTCGACAATGCTCTGGCATGTTCTGAGGCCTGTCCTCGGCCATAGGTAGATTCGTGAAGTCGCAGCCCGGAGGGAAAGGGGGTGCCACGTTGTAGATCACCTGAAAGACATGCCAGCGAGTCGTGCCAGTGATATATATATATATATATAATACTACCCCGACCTATGTAAAGCTTGAAGAAGTCTGTGTTGTTGGCTGCAGAGGCTCTACTTCCACTGTGCCGAGCGATTTCGCCGCATCGAAGGCGTCCTTTACGCTCGCATTGTCCTGTCGCGTGCAAGAGCATGTGTAACTAATCCTGATGCATCTTTTACAGCACATGTGCATATGGCAAGTTCTCCTCTCCCGGCTTCAGTGAGGAGAGGTTTCAAGCCCTGCCCATCCTCCACATCGCATTGGATGCAGGTTGCTGTGCCGCCAACAGCTTGCACCTCTGAACTCACGGAGGTCCACTTCGAAGCAGTTCCGCAAAAAGAACGGCAAGAAACTGTCGAGTCCCAATGCGAAGTTGCCAAATAGCTCTATGCAGCAATGCCAAGGCCCCCTGGAAGGCTGAAGACGTCCAGCCAGGCCTCTTTGGCAACCCCTTCGAGGATAGGCACTCGCCGCCCAAGGAGGGCAACATGGAAGCCGCCCTTTCGAGACTAAAGAACGGACAAAGGTCATGCGTGACACATTAGGCTGAAATGTCTCCTCTACTGAAACGGGACTTTCTTGCTAGGAGTCACAAGCATGGACATGCTGGCCTTTCGGCTTGGTCTGGCTTCCTCTGAGACTGTCTGTGAGTTTGCACTTCCATGCTTCACCGTTTTGAAGGGAAGGTCCAGTCTGAAAGCTGAACCATCAACCTGATTCTGACGAAACATTTGCCGAAGCGCGGAACGAAACCGTCCGGATGTGTAGTATGAGACCTCGGCCCCTTGAGATGGCCTTTGCGAAGCGAAGGCAGAGGGCGCCTCCTAAGCCCCAACGGCTTGCTGGTGGCAGCTCCGTGTCCGTGCCGTCCTGGGCCGCAAGCCGCAAACCCGTCTGGAGCTGCGATGCACGTTTTGCAAGTTGTGAATGTGTTGGATGTCTCTACCACTTCTGCCAGTACGCATCAAGCTTAATTTCGGTTCGCAAGGCTGGCGACAAGCACGACCAGGCAGTGCGAATCAGAACTCGTCACTGGTACCCCGGACCTTACAGCCTTTTGGGGGCAACGGCCCAACTCACTTCAACCAACCTTCAGGCCCGTTAGACTTCACAAGGGGTGCAACAAACGTTGCCGACCAGATCCGATCGAGACCCCGTAAGCACTTCTGCGTGCTACCTCCGGCCTTGTCGTGCTTGGATGCTGCGCCGACGATGACGGCAACCTTCGCCATTCCGTACTCTGCCCCTCGCCCCGCTCAGACTGATGTGCCACAAGGAGCCATTGAAACCCTGAGCCAGTCAGCTGCGGAAGCGCGAGGATCATGCATGTGAGAAGCCATGATGCAGGGCTCTGCTGTTGAAACTTCGAGACAGCAGTTGCTCGAATTCCTATCGGGCTGCTCCTGCAGCGGTATGTGAAGCTGCAGTCGATGCGCCGTTGACACCTGCCATGTGACGTGCAAACCCCGTGTATCAACCTAGTCTCCTTAAGTTATCACCCAATATCTCCACTTCCTATAGTTTTGAAGCTAGACGCAGAGAGCATGTTACGCGCGCATCCGAGATTGTCGAAATGACGACTTCAACCGCAGAGCTCCTCTAAGACATGTCCAGGGGATACACAAAGGCTTCAGCCGCAAAGGAGACTGCCGGTTCACGAACTTCGCATGTTCCAGTCGGACTAGGGCTTCCATCAAAGCCTTATTTGAGTATAGTTTGCCGAGTCATGATAGTCTGCCTGAAAGGGCTCCCAAGACAAAATTCATCATCCTGCATTTCTGCCAATCCCCGCCATGCCAGAGAGAAACCATTCACTGGGGTGATTTGGAACTGTTTCGAAACGCTCCACATGCAGTAGCCTGTCACAGAGCTGCGTGCCGATGTCGCAGCTGACCTGCAACTCCACTGAATGCCAGCATTTGCTTTGTCCAAAGGCAGATGCTCATCTGAATTTCGGTCCAGGGGCGAGCTCCAGAGCGTGGCCAGTGCGACAGCGCAGCGCGCGAAGTGCC